TATGGGTATGCTTCTAAGCTCTACGATTTGGGAGTTAGCCATGCTGCCGCCGTCCTGGCTCCCATGACAAGATTCATTGTCACTGACACTGAGGCCTGCACCTGAAACAGCAAAACAAACAAAGAAAGAAAAAACCATCAGTAAGGATGAAATCCTGACACAGAAATCGTGATACTGTGCCTTGCTCTGCTTTATTCTGGTCCTTGAAACGCTTCCCTACCCCACCAAGAAGTGGCAAATTTCCTCCTCGTGGTCTCCAGTGCTGAATCCACGGGTTGTAACGTTCTCTGACGTAGTTCTGCACCATCCAGATATGCTTTTTCATGATCCCACTGTCAGCCACTTTATTTGCCTCAGTAAATGGTACAATAGCTATTCAGAGGTTGCCTTGAAATCACAAGAGCATAAATCAAGGCCTGGCATAGGCTGGGTTCATGGTCTGGCTGCCACAGTCTGGTATTTCCAAGGACTTCTTCATGAAGAATTGATTTTTAATGATACAATTTCCCTGTTAAACTATAATTCCAGCTGTTTTAATAGGATTGTAATTTCAGCATGAGAAAAGATGCTGACTAAATATTCTTTAAACCCACATTTGGCACAAGATGGTGTATTGTGTTTTTCCTCTACTGTGAGAGAATAGTAAACTTTGGCCCATGGAAACTTCCAAAACATGTCTGGAAGAGACCTCAGGAGGCCACCTTCTCCATCCTTTTGTCACAGGAGTTCTAGCTTGTTGTCTCCTTTTGGGGGGGGGGGAAATGTTTGGGTTTTTTTTGTTCTGTTTTGGTTTTTTTTGGTTTGGTTTGGTTTGGTTTGGTTTGGTTTTTTTTGGTTTTGGTTTGGTTTGGTTTGGTTTGGTTTGGTTTGGTTTGGTTTTGGGTGTGTGTGTTTTTTGAGAGGGGGAGGTTTGAATTGTTTAGTGTGAAGATACATAATCCTGTAGTATTTTTTGTGAAATGTGCAATTTTTCAGACTAGTTCTTAACAGAATATTAGTTATAACTATAAACTCCAGTGTGTTTTCATCTTCTCTCTTTGAGTCATAGAGTGAATAAAAAAAAAAATAAATATGTGGGTCTTGTTACAATTCAGGGAGTTTTGGCTTTAAATTTATTGAGAACTGCACCTCAGTGCTATTAGCCACGATGATTTCAAGACAGACAGATTTCAGGCATGATTTTACAGTGACTTCACTTACAAATAACCAGGGAAGTTATTCATTTTGGGCAGAAGCAGATCTGTAACTGCACACAGTTCAAGCCAGTTGCAAAGGAATGATGTTTGGCTCAAAAAGCCCCAAACAGGGTATGCTGGGAGGGGCAGTGATTTGCATTTTCCTACTAAAAAAAATATTCTAAGGAGTTTTTATCAGTTTCACAGTGCACTTCTTATTTCTGCTTCAGCTGACATTCCAGGCTTGGGCTTGTTTGGCAGAAGAGAAGCGTCATTTGATTTTCTGGAGTTACCTCATAATTTTCTATGGCTTCTAATTGTTCCTCTCCAACAACGTTTTTCCCCAGCACCCTTCCTCCCACCACCCCCCAGGTAGAAAAGAAGTACCTAAAAGTGGGCAGAGGAGGGATGCTCCCTTCCTGTGGGAAGTCAGGCTGCACTCTTGAGTGTGGAGCTTCGTTCAGAGAACCTGAGCAGAAGCTGCAGGGCTAGGCAGCCCTTCCTGCAGAGGTCCAGAAGAAGTCCTACTAGGGGCCAAACCTGGCTGCAGCACTGCCTCAACCCTGCCCTACTGCACCTGGGTGAAAAGTGGGTATTCCTGCACCAGGATCCTTCTTGCACTTGGTTTTGGTGTTTGGTCACAGGGTGAAGAGTCATTCATTGACCTCTACTAGACAAGTCCTGGTTTTGGGTCCCTACAACCCATACCCTGGAGAGATCAGCAGTTCCTGTCAGAGTTTGACAAGAGGGAAAAGCTAAACTCTGAAAAAAAGGGAAAACCTGAACCACTAAAATACTTGTACTGAAGATGCTTAAGCTGCACTTACTGATTTAAATTTATGTAGAAGTTTAAACTTTTCATTGAGTCATGGTCTTAACTAAGAGCTGCTTGAAAATCCTGGAAAAAACAGCAATTGTATAAACAAATTGGGTTTTTTTTTGTGGTTTTATTTGTTCAATTGGTTAGTTGTTTCCCCTCCCCCCCCAGATTTAAAACTGTTTTAGAACAGAAATATGATTGCAATAGAGAAGACAAATCAGACTGCTGTATTTACCATTTAAGGACAGGAGAACAAGGTTATAAACTTGAAGTACATAAAATATTTTGAATGGAGAAACAAAACAATTCTTCTGTAGCATCATTAACATTGGAATAAACTCAAAACATTTATTTAGGCTGAAGAGGATATACATATCAAAAAGGGGAAAAAAAATACATTCTGGAAAATGTTTAAAATCATATTGTATAAATATGACCATCCTAGGTTCAGATTTGAAGCTGCAGATTGACTGTTTGGGTCAGAAAGATCTCTGTCTTTTTGGTGGCTATACTGCAATGATTCAGGAAGGGGCTTCTTAAAGAATCTTGTGCTGATCACTATAGAAAGATCAGAGGCTGATCAGATATTACACTATGTATATTTTTATGAGCCATAAACATGCATGCTTTGTGCAAAGTAAGGGATTTTTCTTCTTGTTCGAGAGGTTCTTTACTTGGTAAACCAGAGATTGAAGTACACTGCTTTGGGTTTACAAGGGCCTTGTTCTGCTGCTGATGCAAAGACAAACTATGTAAGAGCTGATCCTTTTTAGGAATGAGGGCTGAAACGTAACCAGGACACCAGTTTACCAAACAGCTGGCAGTCTGGGGAGGGTATGACTGTTTAGATGATAGAATTTCACAGACTTCATAGGTCTGGCGAGCTCGAAGATTTGAGCAGAATTCAAGCTCAATCAGATCCCAAAGAGCACGTACTCCCTTGGAGATGCTAGAGTTGGATGGTGGGTACCTAGTGGGGAGCATTCTTTTTTTTCCCCCAATTTGCAAAGAAACTATTTTAAGAAAAAGACACGGGAAAACGAGGCCTTTTGTCCTTTCTTTTTGTATCAAAGGACTGGCTAGGAAGGGAGAAGTCACAGCTCCCTTTGCAAACCCAGCAAGATCCCTCCAGTGACATCTACTGGTGGAGGGATTTTGTCAGCCCATTCCTACGTGCCCGAAAACACCGGCTGTTACCATCTGCTTGTTCAGATAAATCTCAGACTTTCACTGAAACTCTTCAAGGGAGACATGGTTTGTCCTGCAATGACTGTACTCATCCCTCTAGGGAGACTTTATCTCACGGGCACTTTCATCTTCCTTTCTGAATCAGTCGTGATTTATATTGCATGGTAAGTTGTATTAGAAGTAAACAAGCTACATGAACCAACTTTAATTCTAATTTCAGGGGTTTTGACTTTACAGAAATTACATGAATAGACATCCAGATTTCTACGAATGAAGCTCAGTTTGGACTAGAAATGCTTCTTGGATATTATGTAGTCACACTCAACAGCCAACAGGTAGCATTTTTGTGAGAAATCACAGATGAGAAGTTGAATGAACATGCAGACTAGCTGCCCTTCCTTCCTCTTTTTTCTGTGAACTGAGCCCTTCAAAAGAGCAGTGACATAAGCTGAGAAGGCAGGACACAAATCTGTCACTTCACCACCATCTATGATTGCTCTGCCCTGTGACAGTCTCCAGGATGTTGCACTGAACACCATTCAGAATTTGAAATTTCAAATTATTCCTCTGGTTCAGGATGCCCAACAGGAGAGGTGTCACTCTTAAAGCAGGCACCTACAGTGGTAACAATAAGGTTTAAAAAATGCTGACTTCAGAACTCTGGTTGTATTAGATTGAAAACTATGTGTTGGTTTATATAGTATAATAGCTGCATTTGTGTGGTTTTTTTAACTCATCCAGGAGATTTTTCAAGGTATTCATCACATAGAATGTTGATAGAGACAGGACAAGGGGTAATGGTTTTAAGCTGTAGATTTAGATATTAGGATAAAGTTCTTTGCTATGAGAGTGGTTGATCACTGGAACAGGTTACCCAGAGAGGTGGTGGAGGCCACATCCCTGGAGACATTCAAGGTCAGGCTTGACAGGGACCAGAGCAACATGATCTAGTTAGTTGGAGAGATCCTTGCTTATTGTAGGTGGTTGGACTAGATGGCCTTCAGAGGTCCCTTCCAACCCAAGACATTCTATGATTCTATTTAGGATTTATCACACATGCCTCTATTCAAGAGCAAAACCAGACTAAAATGTGGATGTAGCCACATACTCCATTGATACCACCTCCTACATATATATAAAGTATCATGTGCTAGGCTGGTATTCTCTGATCTAATCTATAAATGTCTTTGCAAACAACTTCTCAGAGGGTTGGGTCACGAGTCATCACTGGAGGAGTTTGGGCCTCTCTCAAAAGCTATGCTGGTTTTTGATTTTTGCATTGATATTTCACCCAAATGAATGAATTGGTTAAATTTTGTGCATTACAGATGAGAGCATTTGTAGGAGATGGGCACACGGATGGATGCTCAGAGACCAGTAAAGCTACCATGCATTTATGGTCTTTATGCTTTAGAGGAAAGCTGATGCACAGCTTGCTGCTTTGGGACATATTTCATCTACTTTTATTCTCTTAGATCCTTTTATAACTCCCCAGCCCTAACCAGAGTAGAAGTCCTTAGGAAATTCCACTATACTGGGCTTTAGCCTCAATGACAGTAACATATGACAGTGACAGTCTGGGAAGACAATGGTATTATTTGTCTGTCAATACAAAACTTGCACAAGCAGTCAAAGGAAGAATGAGATCTAGTCCAAAATGACAGGACTTTCAAAGTTAATTAGTGCAATTAAGAAAAAACTGTTACTAAATAATTCTAAAGTAACTACTACCCTTCTCAGTAGAAGCCAAGCCTTCAATTCATTATAAAATCTATACATGAAATGTAATAAAAGATATAATTTAAGACAAACTCATAAAGAGGAAAAAGAAAAAGAAAAGAAAAATAAAAAGGAAAAGGAAAAGGAAAAGGAAAAGGAAAAGGAAAAGGAAAAGAAAAAGGAAAAGAAAAAGGAAAAGGAAAAGGGAAAGGAAAAGAAAAAGAAAAAGAAAAAGAAAAAGGAAAAGAAAAAGAAAAAGAAAAAGAAAAAGGAAAAGAAAAAGAAAAAGAAAAAGAAAAAGGAAAAGAAAAAGAAAAAGAAAAAGAAAAAGGAAAAGAAAAAGAAAAAGAAAAAGAAAAAGGAAAAGAAAAAGAAAAAGAAAAAGAAAAAGGAAAAGAAAAAGAAAAAGAAAAAGAAAAAGGAAAAGAAAAAGAAAAAGAAAAAGAAAAAGGAAAAGAAAAAGAAAAAGAAAAAGAGAAAGAAAAAGAAAAAGAAAAAGAAAAAGAAAAAGAGAAAAAGAAGAAAGCATGTATTAATAGTCAGGACATGTTCCCAAACTATTTTTTCCTAACATAATTATTGTACAATTTCCTTCCTTTTCCTCCCAAAAGATTCCCACAGCTTAAGAGATGAGGTGACACAGTGAGCACAGTGAATCCTAACTATGTATTTCTGTATGGGCATTAAGATATTTGATGGAAAGGAGGAATGAATGGATAAGACATTCAGAGGCCATGGTTTTTATGATATAAGAAGTCCAACTTCTGGATTTCTTGACCTAAACAAAAATTTCTATGGCCATGTGATGCAAAACTCATGTAAAACTAGCACAAAGGCTGGCCACGAAACAGCACACAGCTGTTCACCTAATTTGGTAGAAATGCAGTTGTACCCCTCTGCATCTGACCCACTCTGCATTTCGGGTTAATCTGTAATTAGGCCCAGCATTAATGATTACAGAACCCAGGGCTAAGTGCACAGTTCTACAAGAGATGTCTGTAGCAACAAGGCCAAGTGTGCCAACGCATCTGTTTGTGGAGCTGCACTGCAAACTAACGACCAAAATGCTGCCACTTAAAGTCGTGCTGGGGGGGAAGTTGTTTGATGTTATTTATTTTTTTTTTAACCTTCATCAGTCATCTTTCCTACTGCTGAGAGCAGCCAGCTGCACTGCACGGGTGGGGCAGGAGGGCAGGGATGAGTTTTTAGCTTTGCTGCCATTTTACCCCCATTCTCACTGATCCTGGCTGCCAGATTAAACCTCGTGGCTACGGGCAGCCAGCATAAATTAATCTTCAGACAGCTCCAAGTTACACACACAGAAAGGACACGTGAAGTGCAAAGTGGCATTTTTGCATATTCCTCTGCTAATCAAGGGCTGGTCCTCAGCCAACCTTCCAACTGGGAGCTAATATTTTAGCACAGCCAAGGCTGAGTTTGGTTATAGATTGACAGTTTTAGGGAACAACAGATAATGGAGGTTTCTGTTTATGCTTATCAGAGGGAATGCTCAAGCAACAGCAGAGCAAGTGTTTCTGTTCTTCCTCTATACCCCAAAACCTCAACTCCCAGTTTAGGAGAGATAAAAGCAGCCAACAAGGTGCAAAACACATTTCCCTGCTCTTCCAGTGGCCTGTTTGCTTGAGATGGGGCATTCTCAGCCTACTGACAGAAAGCCTGGCCTAAAAAAGGTTTGAGAAGAGCTACTCACAGCAAGAGCAAGGCAGCAAAAAGGCCTCTCAGCTGCACATACATTCTACTTTGGAGAAGAGGTGCCGGTCTCCCAGTTGCTGATGACCTTCCTTGGAGCTGGGACTGGTGCTCAAAGGGCATCAAACTGATGTGGAGTAGCAAGGGGAGAAGGATAGAGAGAGGGAGAAGAAGGAGAGGAGAAGAAAGAGGGAGAGGAGAAGTCTCTAACTTGAGTTGTTGTGGCTTCATGTGAGTACGAGCAACGATGCAAGAGAGGAAGAAGAAACATCCTGCCATGAGGAACCAGGAGACAGGCTGCTTTCAGTGCCTGCTATCCTAACTGCATCATAAAATTCCTGTCAGACCACAGCTCAGTGAATACTTTAGCAGCAAAAGTCTGCACTGCCAAACAGAGAAGAAATCCCACTTTCCACCACTTCATCTCTCTTTTTATTGCTTCCACGTGGTTCCCTCCATTATGCCATCAGGAGCACCTTGATTCCTTGGCCATGCACTGAGCTGGGCTGGAGTGTAGGTTTGGATGAAAATAATAAAACAGATATGATTTTTAGCTGCAGAAAAACTCACGTTTTTCAGTTTAAAGCATGTGTTCAGCTGTAGCTTGTATCTAAGGCAATAGCTGATAAACATTTACATTGGTGGTTAAAGCTACTCTAACCTCAACATTGCCTCTTCACTTTGGCTTGTTCAAATTCTGTGTGTGGGGATGGAACAGGATGGCTTAGAAATCACCTTTTTTTTGCCCCTGTAATGTTCCTAGGGATGCAGTTTGGGCACGGGAACAAGCATTTGGGGTAAAACTGTCAGGTATAACTTGAATCATATTTTTCTCCAGCTGTGGCCTCAGGTGTCTGCTTCAAATCACATTAATATAAAAAGCTCATGAGAACAAATGACAATAAAATGTTTATAAAGAAGACAATAATAAAATTCAGGCAAAATAATCAAAAGCTGGTTCTTGACGTAATTCCTTTAGAAGGACTGAAAACAGCTAACAATGGATCTTGAATATTTATTTAAAAATCACTAAATGCTAAAGCTGTGGTGAATGGCAATAACCATGACTTTTAACTACTGCTGTTGCCTGCATTTTTTTGTTTTAAGACTCAATATTCCATGGTGTGTAAAGTTTACTGCAGAAAATAGGCCAGCTGATGTCAACTGAGCTGCTTGAGCAGCAAACACTGTGTGAGATGGTGGGAGTGTTAGATGTGAATGGCTTCATATCTTTTAACTATCTATGAATTACCTGGTTTCCTTCAAAATATTCAGGAAAGAGTAAAAAAGTAAAAGCTACCTTAGAATCACTATGGTTGGAAAAGACCTCCAAGATCAAGTCCAACCATTAACTCTACTAAATCCAAACCCTAAGCCATATCCCCAAGCACCTTCTTAGGTCCTCTTAATAAAGGTTTGCAACTCTAAGCTTATGCCTCTTGTTTTGAAAGTCTTGTCCAAAATCTCTGTGTAACAAAGTAGTCTGCAAAAAGTCCAGGAAAATTAATAGCTACAATACAGATTTTGTAACACTCTTCATAAAAATCTGTATTTCTTAGCACTAGGCCAATCATTAGTCATCCAATTATCTTCATATTTACAAGAATTTTCTGCAATGGAAGTTGGCTTAGGAGACAATTATGAATATACTGAATAAAACTGCTCCTTCATTAGCAGCATTCCCAGTCTTCCAACCAATTTGAGTGGCCTCCCCTACTTTTGATCTCCAGCAGCACTGTGAACTCATCATAGCTGGCTCTTAAATTTGGGCAGAAGTCTAAGAGTCATAGATTAGTTTGGGTTTGAAGGGACATTTAAAGGCCACTTAGTCCAACCCCTATGTAGTTTACCTAGTGTATCTTTCCAGTGTATATAATTTATCAGGTCCAAATGCATTTTAAACAACAATTTCATCTTATGCTTGTTGGGGAAATCAATACTTATGAAGTTATGCTGTTTCTCTCTTATACACACATATATATTAATAATTTAATAACAAATACAAGCATAGCACCTCTATCAGTTTGAAAAGGAATGGAAAAGAAGGCAAGACAGCCTACGTCTAGAAGCAGCAAGTTAGCCATTTAAGCATGTGTGAAGAAATGTCAGAGTCTCCAATCTGCTGCTACTTTCTGCAGGTCTGCTTATCATCATGACTCAAAACAGATTTTTGCAGGCTCCTTCTGTGTTATTTTAGACAGCCTGCACAATTTTTTTTAATGAACAGCAGTCCAAGGCAAAACAACTTTATTTCAGATTTTCAATGGCCATATGATTATATTGGATGTTGTCTAATTGTGAGACCATTAGAGTGAAGAACAACATAAGAACCTTTGAGGAGCAGGAAGAAGAGCCACTCACCAGTCTTTAAAGCAAATATCAGGTCATCAAACTCCTGTGACTCCTCATCAGCAACCAATGAGCCTGTACTAAATCCTCCAGAAGGGTGGAAAACATTTCCATTTTGTGGACTCTGCTTAAAGGCAGCACTAGCTTGACCAGCAGGCTGCAAGGATGCCCTTTCCCAGTCTGCAGGCACCTGCAAGGTTTAAAAAGACACAGAAATGCATCAGAATGATAGTATAGAAACTGGAAACCAGAGCCAAACTCAAGACCAAGAGATTTTGGAACCAGATATTCTGTCACTTCTACTGCCAAACAGGTAGCCTTATTTTAAATGTTTCTTTGAAATTATATATGTATATTTATACATATAACACTCATTTACAATTCATTTTACCTTGTGCTTATGATATCTGTCATTGCTATCTCAAAAACTTGAGAAAATACTCCTATTTCTGAACATTGGCCCCAGTATTGAGGACTTAAAGCTTTGAAAGGTTCCAGTTCAATCCTCTCTTCCCAATGCATCTTTCTTTGCTTCTCCTTTTTATAGCCATGAATCAGTCATAGAATCAATCTGATAAGAAGAGACCTTCAAGATCATCAGGTCCAACCATTCCCCCAGCCCTGCCAGGTCCCCACTGCCCCGTGTCCCTCACCCCACATCTCCACGGCTTGGAAACCCCTCCAGGGGTGGGGACTCCACCACTGCCCTGGGCAGCCTGGCACAGCCCTGGGCAACCCTAAGAAGGAAGAAATTGTTCCTCAGGTCCAACCTGAACCTTCTCTGACACAACTTGAAGCCAATTTGCCTGTCATTGAAGGTTCTCTTGGTGGTATACATCTCTCCAGTTTTGATATCAACTTCCCTACAGTTCATCTGCCACTTCAGTTTAAGGCAGGGCTGCACAAAAAAAAAAACCTAGCACTTCAATTCATAATAAAAGAAGTGGTTTTGAAAATCTAGCTCCTCCTTAAATGTGTGTAGGGGGTGAGGGGGGAAAACCAAAATACTGGACTCTAAAAAGATGTATTTTAGGACATCAAAATATATTTTCTTTATAATATATTTTTTTTAATGAATTCCTTTCCTTTTCCTTTTCCTTTTCCTTTTCCTTTTTTCCTTTTCCTTTTCCTTTTCCTTTTCCTTTTCCTTTTCCTTTTCCTTTTTCTTTTTCTTTTTCTTTTTCTTTTTCTTTTTCTTTTTCTTTTTCTTTTTCTTTTTCTTTTTCTTTTTCTTTTTCTTTTTCTTTCTTTTTCTTTTTCTTTTTCTTTTTCTTTTTCTTTTTCTTTTTCTTTTTCTTTTTCTTTTTCTTTTTCTTTTTCTTTCTCTTTCTCTTTCTTTTTCTTTTTCTTTTTCTTTTTCTTTTTCTCTTCCTTTTTTTCCTTTCTCCTGATCTTGATCTTGTTCTTTTTTCTTTTCTTCTTCCTTTTCCAGTCCTCTTTCTTTATTTTGTATATTCCATGCAGATATTATTCTAATTTTATTCCATTCTATTACAATTTCCAGAAATTTTGCACACCATGACACTGGAAAACTAAAGTTTTAAAAATCATCTGAGACCTATAGTAAGCTGAAAAAAAAAAAATTAACTTCCTATTTTGATTGGTCATGACCTACTTTTGATAATCCCTTAACCAACCGTAAAACAAACTGCAGACTCAAGTAGAAAAGGGGGAATACTCTAGATGGGGTCTTACCAGGGAATTGTGAGTTCCAAGAATATCACTGTGGCTAAAGATTATAATTTTTCTGATTAAAAAAGAAGAAGAAAAAAAAAAGAGTAATAATCCAATAACCACTGCCCTCTCCACAGAAGACTTTTAATAATTAACATCTCATTCCTCTGTGTTATACCTCAGCACTGCCACTTAAAACTCCAGGTCCATTGTCAATACACATGGGAATGACTGCAGGGCAGTGTTACCTCTTCCATAGCACTGATGAGGTTCTGAGTGGACTTGCTGATCTCTCCACCTGCAGCTGGAAGACCACTGCCATGTGTGAAGAAAGCTGACCCTGGGGTCGGATGCCCATTCATGTCTACAGTGTAACTCGCTTTCACGGGACAGCAAAGCTGGTTGTGGAGGATAAAATACACCACGAAGACATAAAGACCCTGAAAAGGACAAAAAGAACACCAGGATGTGAAATGCAGGGAGCTTAGAGTTTGAATGCAGGCGCCTCAAGGTGCTAAAGGCAGCAGAAGATGGGTTTGCTTCCACCAGCAGTCCACGCCTCAAAGGGAATCAGCCAGTTTCTATGGAAAATAAAAAATGATGTCACTGACACTCAGTGGAGATCTGGAAGTTAAAAGTGAGTTCAAACCCTGAGGCCTTCAACTAAACACACACACACACACACAAAAAATACCAACCCCAACCCAAAAGACGCGTTGAACATGATTACTCGGTTGAACCCACGCAGCTGCAAAGCAAAGCCAAGATCCCAACAACAACAAAACCAACTCGAGTTTCAGAGTTGTCATAACAGTGAAAACGTGGTTAAGGGCTGCCTGTACAACAGGGTTTGGCTGCTGGCCCCAGGCCACAATGCTGTATTTCCTCACTGACCTGCTGGCTCTTCACGTTCTTGCCCCAGCTTCGATCTCCTGCAAACTGCACGGCTGCCATGGCAGATACCGAGTCACAAATACAGGTCAGATTCTCTGATACCCACTAATTACACACTGCCTTTCATTTGTGATCAGCACAAAGGCTCTGCTGTATGCCTCTGCAGTCCTGCTTTAAAACTTGCTAATTTTGACCTTTAGACTTAGCCAAGAAAAGTGATACAAACATGTCTTTTGTCTGCAAAGACACCCAGAGACTGAACTTCTGAATATGAAATCTGATTTTCTGTAAGTTGTGTTAATACTGAGGGAAAATAATCCATTTCAATTGATAAATCAAACAACCCCAGTAATGACTAATGAAGGAGTTAACCAAAGGAATACAGAAAGAGGACTTCTGGATTCCTGCTTATTGCTGCAATACAATTACATTTGCTTTGGGTTTTATATTTCACATTGTCCTCTAGACCCCTGAAACCAATTGTACTAAACAGAACAATTTATTGGAAAGGTACCCATTGGCATGAAAGTAGTATTATAAATAGTAAGAAGTTTCATCCAAGTGCATTTGGGAATTCTTAATGGAAGGAATTTTGAAAATACTGCAAATACCCAAGATAAATGTTCATTTCCACCCCTATAAAACAGGCAGCAGCTCTTTGTGATCCACAGATTCATAATTTCTGATGTCCAGATTTTATGACAAAAAGATTGGTCTAAAATGAGACATAACAGAAGTTAGTCTCAGATGGTCAAACATTGGAAATACCCTCATATATTGCTTCCTGTATATGGTTTGTGGTGTTTTGTTTTGGTTTGGTTGGGTTTTGTTTTCCAAACAGTAAACAAGCAAACAGAAGTGTTAAAAAAAACTACTTTGAGAAAACATTTTCCCATTTTTCCAGATTTTTTTTTTTTGTCACGAGGACCCAGAGCAGTCAACAGAGTGGAAATTTCTTTGTGATACATGTCAGTAAATACATTCCAGAAAACTGATGCAAACACGTTGCACTTAAGAGACACTAAAAAGGAACCAAAATGTCCTTTCATCCTATAAACAAATCCGAGGACTCTGATGTAGGTCAAGCATAATGGGAACAGCAAATGGACTTCTTTTAATTTAAGTTGTTTAATGGATATGAAAAGGATAACAAACCCAACAAGAACAGATAACAGTGACGACTCTGCATTCAGAGCAGCCTCTGGCATTTCAGTCTCCGAGGACCTAGCCACAAAAGTTGCACTAATGTTTCAAGTGGTTTTGTACTTTCCAAGAAAACCCATTAGCTGAATATGCTGCACGCCGTGGCTTTCAGAATGGCAGGGATGTCAGGCATGGCTATGCAAGGACTGTGCTCTGTCACTCCTGTGCAGCCCCAACTGGGGACATTCACTCTTCTGAAACAAACACGGAATAAAGTGCTACAATTATCTCCTTAACTCAGCCTGCTGTCCTGATTTAGCTCTCTGTGTGTTTCAAACAGGGTTATTTCTGAGGAACTGTTGTTCCGTCACAACCACAGAATGGCGTTTTGACACCCAAAGCATCCTTGCTGCCTCTCCTCCCTGCTGCCATCACTTCTGCCCCTTGCTGTCACCCAGGGATGGAGACCCTTGTCCTGGGATCCCATCCCTGGGATGCATCTCTTCCCTGGTCATGGGCAGAGAAGGAACTTCACTATGTGCAAATCCAAACCTCGAGTCTCAGGAAGATACACTCTGTAGAGATGACTTCCTACGTGCCATCAATGTGGTTTTGTTTGGAGTATCAAAAGGGATTTGTGGTCTTATTCTCACTACGCTGTGTCTTTATTAGGAACCACTGCAACTGAATTTTGGGAAACCAAAGCAAGGCAACTGATCCTGCCCAGCAATGCCACATCCCAGTGATCACACACACGAAGGTGCCATGCATCAAGTCATATTGATCCGTGCTTATTTTAGCACCAGCAGCCACCCTCACTCTGCAAGAGCAGGGGCAGGATGCAGGCACCCAGGTTGTGTCACTGCAACCACAGCTCTCACAGCCTCACTGTTTGGGTTTTTTTTTAAAGCCCTAGTTTGAGAATTTAATTGTCCTTCATCAGACTTTTTGACACTCATTATGTTCTTTTTCACTTCAACTTTTAATACTGTAAAAATAGCTTCAAAGCACTATGAAAATAAGTCTGTTTGCATATGGGTTTCACTGTGCTTATCCTATAAACAGTTTTGGCCAAGTTGGCACCACTTTACTTTGTCAGGGACACTGTCCTGGTCAGTGGAACCATGAATGACATGCAGGGCATAGTCAAGTCCTGTTGAAACATCTACCACAGCTTGCAGGATGTTCAGAGAAGGAACCTACACACTCCAAAAGGATCAGAAGAAAATAGGTCTGGGTATGGATATTAGTTAAGACAGACAGGCAATGACATTTCTGTTAAAAATATGATAAATATCAAGTTTTTATTCTTAAAAAGATTTCACAAAAAAAAAAAACAAAACAACCTAACCTCAAAAACCCCAACTCCCAGAGCACAGCTTAGTTACAGTATCCTCTGGTGTTGCATACAAACTCAGAGCCCTTCTCCTCAGCCCACAGGCATGTACAAGGAGACCAAAAGACATTGCTGGGTGTCAGAGTGAAATGATTGATTGCTAACCTGAGAGCTTGACCTGAGTTCCATGGAAGCAGATTGAGCAACAGAGCTGAAGAACTAGGATTCTGGAGGATTTAATTGTGATGCCACACAACATCTGTGCACTGGGCCCACAGGGCTTCTTGCAAAACATTTAACCCCACGTAATTTATGGTTACACTGTGATGGTAGTATTAATACACTAAAAGATAAGAGGAAAAAGTGTTACTAATGCATCTCCTGTGCAGGAAGGAAGGTGAGAAGTACTTCAAGCAGACACTTAGGCTCTCCTGAAGATGGGAGCACAGCAAACAACTTCTCTGAAGTGGGAGCTGCTTGAAAAAATGGTTGGAAGATACAGTCAGTAAAGGCTGCTGGTTATTTTACTGATAGAAGCTCACAGAATGCCACTAAGCTTTTGTTATTTCTCCTCAGCAAGCTGGTCTCTACATCTGCTCTTTTGCATTCTTGTATCCAAGAAAAAAAAAAATCCAGGAAAAAACACAGTTACAACTACCTGAAGGAAAGATTGCAGACAAAGGAGTCCATGGGCACCTTTTCAGCCAGTTCTAGGTTCTGCCAGGTGTTTCACCAGTCTTCTTATGGATTTGCTACACACACTTCATCAACCTGATTGCCTTCTGTGACTCGTCCAGTGAAGAAGAGGAGAGTGATGGATCACATGGGCTTTGGTTTCTGCATGGGTTTCACCATGGTCTCCCATGGGACGCTTGTACCCAAGTTAGGACATTGTCATTTAGATGGGTTGAGCACTGGAAGGCTAAGAAGGTGAGCAAGTCCAGTGGAGTGCCATCAAGATAGTCAGAGTCTCAAGCACATGCCCTGTGAGGACAGGCTGAGGGAACTGGGTTTTTCAGTGTGAGGAAGCTCAGAGGGGAATTAACAGCCATTAATTGTTGTTAGCTTCCCAGTACAGGACAGGTGGTTACCAAGAAGAGAGTGGCACAGGAGGGGAATGAGAGATAAGCTCATGAGAAAGATATAGAACTGGTCCTAGGTTGAAACAGGGGAGGCTCCAACTGGCTATCAGGAAAAGATATTTACTGAGAGGACAGTTAAGCACTGGAACAAGTTCATAGAATGAACTTTGGGTTGGAAGGTCATCTAGTCCAACACCCCTGCCATCAGCAGTGACATCTTCAACTACAGGATTGCCTGACCTGCAGGACCTTGCTCTTGGCCTTGTTGAACCTCATGAGATTCCCATGAGCACACTTCTCCAGCTTGTCCAGCTCCCCCTGGGTGGATCCTGTTCCTCATGCATGTCAACCACATCACTCAGATGATGTCTTCTGCAAGCTTGCTGAGGCTGCCCTCGATCCCACTGCCCAGGATGACGATATTAAGCAGCACTGTGGCTGATCAAAGAGACTCTGGAAAGTTCTTTACAGGAGAAGAATGGAAATTTTTCCTGGTCCATTTTATAATTTGTTGGAGGGATTTGTGCATGCATGGGTGTAAGGGGGATTCTCATATACAACAGCTTGCTATATTTATTCTGTGGAGAGACAGCTGCAGGAAGCTAGTAAATTAAGGACATACTTCCACAGCTATCAATAAAGGGATGGAATATATTTCACACTTTGTAAGGTCACACAAACCTGGAAGACTGATCTGTAGAAAGCCTTCCTTGCATATCTGACACTCATAGTCTGTCTCTATTTCTGTGTATTCTAGCACACCGTGCTGGCACTATAAATTTAAATTTGGAAATTGAGATAACTCTGCTAATATTAATGAGAAAGGATATAACAGACTGTAGGCCATCAATAAACCTCTTCAACTGTCTCTTTGTCACCCACTGAGAGAAAACCAAGGTTTCTACTGCATCCCATAATTCTAAATTGGCCTTGTAAGATAAAGAACTTTTATTGCTTTAATAAACACAAAGACACCAAGGCATAA